AATCTATCGCGGTAAAAACGTATCTAGTTCATCCGGAAATCCTTTCTAACCGTGACGAATAAAAAAAAGGTTTGAAAAAAAAGTGAAAAGTGAAGAGTAACGAGTGAAGACTCATGAATCACTTATCCTTGTACTTACACGCTTTTTATCACCACGCGAGTGTGTTGTGTTGTATTCAAGTTGAAATGCGTTATTCGTGTGCGTGATTAAGTGCTGTTTCCTTTTGTCAATGAGCGTTTTGACAACGTTCAATTACCGCTGACCAGCTTTTAAGTTTACTTTCTTTTCACGTTTTCTTTAAATGAAATAGAATTATACACAATTAACACCTTTGATTGCCTTCAATAACCTTAAAATTGTATTCATATATAAGTCTAATCAATAAACAGATGGCGACACCTGTGTGCAAATAAATCAAAAACTTTCGTTTTATAAGTTAACATTATCAAAATTAATTTCTTAACTCTTGATCTAGATTAATTTGCAATTGCACACGGAGTTTGTTCCCTAGATGGAAATTAGGAAACGTTTTCGTACACACAATGCAAATGCCAAGATAAAGTTTAACCGCATTAAATTATCGCATTAACCTGCCTCACTTTAAATCTACAACTGAAACTAAAACAACATTGTTGAATGTCAAACGTTTGACACACAAAAATGATAATGACGCTGATGCATTTGCTAATACTCGTACAACTGTTGTTAGAGCTAGATTAGTAGATGTGAATTTAGGTTAGGTTAGTGTCTAAACGTCCTGAATTACATGTACGTGTCATTTGACTTTAGAATGAAATTCCCTAGTCACCAATCGACTTGTGCATTAATTAAGTAAAAGTTGATCAATGTTGCGTAATAAATTAACAATTTACATTTACCTGCAATAAATCAATTTAAAGAAAATACGCATTATAATGATTTTTTGCTGTATTATTGCGTAGAAAAATTATTTAATGAAATTCTTTTACTGTTTTCCTTTAGTAATTAAACTTTTAATACTATCAAGTTGCTTAAATAAATAAGAATAAAGAAAGCGATGCAAGCGGCGTTTGGTTGGTTTGGTTCAGGAAGTGCACGATTGAGCAACGCATCGTAAAAATGCAGCGCGAATGCAACAAATAGAATCGTCCTGAAGAGTGAGTAACAGAAGAACATCTCTCGAGGTTGGAACTTGCAACCAGCTGACGATGACAACATGGTACTTGTCCGATGTGCGCCGCGCGTGTGCAAACGCGTTTCTCACTTTTGTCGCTTGTCTGTTTACGTCTATACGTAATTAAACAAATTATGCACCGCTGTGCTTACCACTCATTAATCCGTATTATGTAATCGGATGTCTTCCTACCGGAATTCACTTTATTTCACTTTTCTCATTAATAATATCTGTTTAACCTAATATTTTATCGCCTGAAATATGCAACCAAACATACAGATTATATTCAATTACGAAATTGAATATAATTAATTATATTATTGGTTTGAAAGTATAATGTACCTATGCAATTACATTTCATACGAAAATAAAATTATTAATGACCATTTATGATAATGCGGCACGGTGTTAAACATTCTAAATTTTCTTTAGTTACCGTGATACACATAAACGTTTGGCCGCTAATATGCTACTTTATTAGCTCCACAAATATATTCATGAGCGTGTGCAATGTGTATCTGTCTTTGATTTTACTTTCTCTTCACGTTCGTTTTCTGCGTTCTTGCGTTTTGCGTTCGCCTCCGTTATACATAAATTTCAGCTATTACACGCACACACAGCATACACAAGCAAAAGTAACTCGAGACTGTTAAATTAACTGTTATCTCAGTGACCACACACATACAAATATAAACTGTAGTAATATTACGTATACCCTGCTTGTTATTTATTGTCGCATATTTCAGATTATGATTATTAATAGAAATATTCAAATTTTACTCGAGTTGTGCATTTTTCCCGACTTGTAATAAGATAAATTGCAGGCTACGAAAATGAGACTTTGTATCAGCGCAAGTGACTGGCGAATGCTAATGTTAATGTGCGTTTAGGAATTATAAAGGTGAAAAACAACGGAAATGTTTGAACGGAGAGTGGAACAGGTGTGCGAGCACGTATACAACTTCTAATCATATTCAAAATTAATTAGTTAAGATTTATTAAGGTGTATATAATGTAAAGTAGTAACTAGGAACAGAAAATGTAAAAATAACGTGAAAATATTTACTTATAACCTCAAAAAATGTAATTTTGACAAAATTTCTTGGTTATATTACTAGTATTCTAACGATTTCAGCAATGTAGTTAATATTAGTTTAGTTCACATTGCAATGATCGAAAATAACCTTGATTCGCAGCGAAAAATAATCACAACTAAGACATTTTACTTTCAATTGCATGTTGTTCACATTACTCCATTACACCACACCACAATCATTCCACTCCATGCAGCATTACAAAGCACACACGTATTCGTACACGGCGTGCATTTCGTTTTCATTTTCCTTTTCCATTTTTTTACACCGCATGATATATGATACACGCGCTCTCGCGCTCGCATTTTATCCGAGTGTACACTTTGAATATTTTATTGTGTACTTCATTCAAACTCAAATATATATCTCTTCGTGTACAGCACGGACAACGACGATGAATTACTTAACGTGTAGATTCACGCTGGAATTTTATCCTCGGCGAATGCAAAATAATAGCAAAACGGTTTTTAAGCCTCAAAGTTTCCTAACCCAACGTAACTTTGACATACTTTAATGCTAGACAAGTGAACAAATGACTGCAAAGTTACACGCACACAAGAAAAATCGAGTTTGATTGTTTGTTATGTCAGTGTTTCATGATGATATGAATGAAATCATGATACAACTTCAAGAAAGAATAAAAAAAAAACAACTCGCAATGTTTAATTATAACTCAAAACAGGCGTTACTCGAAATATTAATTGATGGGTGTCAAAATTTTTAATTTTAACCTTTCGATTTACACGTTTTACTTTTAATTATTATTGTTAAACTATTCCACGCACAAAAATAACAAGAGAAAAGAATCGAAAACGAAAGTTTCGGCATTAATTAGTTGATCTATTGTTAAATATTGTTAAATATTTTCGTAAGTGAAACGCGTCGTTAATTAAAATTAATACGAAACTCTCACGGGTGTGAATTTGTAAATTATCCGGTCTAATCTTTGTCTTTTGCCGCGTTTGTTTCGAGAGGTGTAAAACTGCGCAAAAGTGTTGAAAATTAACACAATGGATCGATAAATTTATGATTGCGACAACGCACATTTTAACTTTGTAGTATTTGAACGGACTTGCAACGCGTATGATGGCCGATTGTGTTTGTTAATGATGTGGAAGCAACGCCAACAAATTGCGACTTTTCGCATTGCGCAATTCGTCGATTGATTCACAATCGATATACAATTGAAATGGAAGAGGAATCTCAATGATAAATATTTAAATATTGCATTTATAAGACATTGATGTGGTCAAATTGTGACTTAAGGTGCTTGAAGTGAATCTGTTTGAACCTGTGCATCTTTTTATTGGCATGATCTCATACGATGAATCGTTTTATTCCGTTATATTCCGCACGAGACTGTGTGACTGGGACACTTGGCGCACTCAACTCTGACTTAAGTGTCTGAACCGTTTGCGCACCTACTGAGCTTGGCTGAGCGCACCTTGTCCGGGCGTCAGCTGGTGTTGGATGCTGGTTCATTCACTTTGTTTTAGTTTTACCGGTGGAAATGCTATCATTGTATTATTTTATTACTATTTACTTGATTACGCATTTATACTCATGGATATAAATTAGACACAACAATTATTTATATCGGAAAAATAAGAGTGTAAAGTACAATCAACGCTAAATGAAGCGTAATAGAATAAAAAGTATCTAAAATAAACATAAGAAATTTAGGTTTCTACAAAATCAAAGAAATTCAAGCTTTGCTAAGTAAAAATTAATTGCTTAATAATATTAATTGCTTTGTGCAAAAACAGAAATAAAATGACAACAATTAAATTTACATCAAAATATAATTTCATTAATTTGTTTTATTACTTTTTGCAGTTTTAATACAATTTGGGCGTAAACACATATAATAACCTTTACAGTGGCGTAGCGTGCCTTGTCGGGGCCCCGTATAAAAAATTTTTTGGGGGTCCTTATATGGAGGTAAAGGTTTTTGCTTACACACATTGGGGGCCCCCGTGGCCCGGGGGCCCCGTATAATTGATACGGCAAATACGGCGGTAGCTACGCCCCTGAACCTTTAATAATAATATAATTTAAGCAGTTAAACATAAATTTAATACGAGTATAAACTCACACTTTAATGAATTATTTAATGTTTATATGAAATAATAATACTAGAAAGCAATTGTAATTTCTCATCCTACTTAAACCGTAAAACAAAATTACACAAAATTTAACGGGAGTATTATTAACTTCCAAAAAAGGTTTAATTTGTATGAAGAAAAAAACTTAGAAACTACACGAAAGTTTCTCACGTGTCATTTTATACATATAAATCATTGTTAAACCTATTAATAATAATCAAAAATGTATATATTCAATTTATAATCGATTGGTTTAGATTTCGTTTAGATCCGTGTTGACTTAAGATACATTGTCGATACGTTTAGCAGATGTTTCCAATTCCAAGCGCCAGATTAATGGGTGTCTCTTGTTGAAACTTTTCTTAAGTTATCTTAAGATAAGTTAAACTTTTCTCTACATTTGTGAAACTTAGATATAGTAATCCAGATACAGATCACTATAGAAATCATTTGTAAAAAATAGATTAAAATAGAAATAGAAAAATAGAAAATGGAAATCTATAAATCGACAAATAAAAGTAAAGCAGAAAAAGTTTGAATTGTGACGGTAATGAGCAACATGTGACCGCAAACGACCACGTTATCGTCTGTGTGGTATTTTCATGCTCAATTACAAATAATAATAATAATAAAAAATATAAATCTTACCTTTCTTTTTGGCTCCGACCCTTACGGCATTGATAACCGCGGGTGTGAGAACTGTAGCGAAGACAAACGCGACCAGAAGTCGTTTGGTCCCCATTGCTGAAGTCCTTGGTTTGAGCAAACTTTTAACTTATTGAAATCCTTTGTTTCGAGTGTTCTAATTTATTTGCGAGATTATTTTGAGGGCGCTCCGCGCCGTGCACTCGACTTCGCTCTCCAGGTACGTTCACTGCGCGCGGCGAGCACTCACTGCACTGACGGCGTCCGCGATTTCTTCGACTCTTGTGGCCTGCGAGCGACTCTTGCACACCACCACGACGAAGTGATGGTAACCGTAGCGTGTTGGTACACTACTACCACCTGGGACACTTGAGGACAACGTGCAAAAACGATAAGGTATTAAAATATTCCAACATTTTATTAACTCCCACTCAAGTTATAACATAACCCTCATCAAAAAATAATTTTATTAGTCCGGTAATCGGATAATTTAATAACTTTTATATGTGTATGTTAGTGAATGTTGAACATGTTGGAGTTTAGCATTCGACTCCACCTTTGGTCGTTCGAAAGTAATACTCGCGCATAGAATAATTGCGAATTGTTGTGAAAACTCCCGACGAAGGTCGAACGCCTTCCGGAATCCCGTCTAATACATGAATGTTATAACTTATAACACATTCGTGTTGTGGTTAGGACGGTTAACACCACGATTGTGGAATTGGAATGATTGCTCAACACGTGTACGACTTGTGGACCTCGAATCAAACGAAATTCGCTTTTAATTTGCGCACCGTTAGCAAATCGACATTCCTGTACATTGCCGAACTCATAAAGAGTGCAAGGTCTTAGTTAATTATGTGAAAAAATACTCTACTGACGTTTAATTAAGTTTTCTTTGTTTTTTGTAGGTGTTGAATAGTTATAGTGCTATATTCGTTCAATGAGAAGAAGATTTAGCGAGTTTGGTAAAATAGTAGTGAAAGTTTTTGATCGCACACATGCCGGATGACGAGTGCATCGATTCTCTCAGGTATGTGCGATGTGTATCGATCAGGTAATCTCAACGCAGCCAGGCAGCAGACAAATCGTTTTTATAACATCAACCTCCACGATTTGTCCATTCTGCAGTCTGATAGGCATCTCTTTCGCTACTTCGTGTGCTAAAATTTCGATTTTAAACATTACAGTCATTGGGTTTCCGAATTACGATGCTTTTATTGCTTCTATCGCTTTTATTAGCTTTAACTAAGTCTCGAATTACACCCAATAAAATTTATCTTCTGATTGAATCAATTTAGAATATATGCTTTAAATGTAATCAGTTTTTTTCAACAAAGTAAACAAAATGTTTTGATGGTGAAAGTGCTGCCATCTGATGAGTTAATAAGAAGTAATTATATATGAGGTTATAATTTGAAATACTTTTGTAATTATTTGCTATTATGTGTACATATTCTTATTATCGGTAAATTTCTAACTTTCAACCTGTTTTTTTTTTCTGCAAAGAAAAAAAATTGGGATGTTATTATGGTCCAATCATGAAATATCAATTTTGATCAAAATAACACCAATAATAGCGAAAATATAAATTAAAAATTGTCATGGGAAAATCTAAATCGACGAAATGAAGCAATTCAATTTGCGTCGCACACTTTTTCTTTTCGAACTTTTTTCGCGTTTTCTTTTTCGCCGGACGACGAATTTCTAATAAAGCAATAAATTTCATTGTCGAAAGGCCGTCGACATATTGCCAGCGCAGTACTGCACATAGTAAACAGAGTAAGAGCAAACAGTAGATAGGATATTAGTATCCACTTGTATCTATTTGCGTACTTAACATTTTCCTATTTGAATATCTCATTGTTACGCACATGTTTTAAACATTTTACGCGTTTAGAATGCGTTCGAATGTGCGTTTGGTCATAAATAATTGATTGAGAAAATCACATAAAACGTTTTTGTGCGTAAAAATCGTAAAATTCATGTTTAGAATAAGGAAATTTGTTTTTAAGTGAAACAAATTTTATTCCTGTGGCAAATCAAAATATATTTTAGTGTATTTTGTTTGTATTGCCATAAATCACGACTGGAAATCTTTAAAATTTACTATTAACTAGGTTAAAATCAACGTTGAATAAAAAAAATTTTACTAATTACTGGCACAGTTACATACAGACATTCAAATGAGTAGTATGTATGAATGTGCATAGTTTACAATCGAAATCAGAGTTTGCGAGCCAAACAATCAAACGGCTTCCTGCCGAAATGTTGTGACAACTCAACGGTTTTAAACGAGCATTGAATAAGCATTAACATTTCTCCTGTTGCTTTCTTCGCAAGTCGAGAATAATGGTAATTAAGATCGTCAAAAATTTTAACACAATTAATCACCGAATCGAGCAAAAAGCCAGCACAAAACATTCATTCAGTGAAATTTGAACGACTGTTGAAAGACTGGTGATGTTTCGGGCTGTAGAGTTCTTGTAAATCGTAAGAAAAACGAGAGTAGGTGAATTAAAACGTGAGCTGCTCAGCTGCGCAGTCGGAAAGCGCTAGAAACCTAAATTTTGTGCTCCAAATTTTTATTCATGTAATTTTTACATTCAAACTTAATACAAAGTCAAATAATAAACAAACAAGTGGTTAATATTTGCTTTAAATCTTTTTTCACTTAATAACTTTTCTTATTTATTTTTAGAAATTTTTTGAAAACAGTTTAAGGGTAGTTCTTGAGTTTATGATAGTTAAAACTAAGTTGCAAATAATTACCCAATTCTTTCTCCATAAAATTTTTTAAATTGCAATTAAATTGTTTCTTAGAATGTCAAAATACATGGTGTTTTAAATAATTCCCAAAAATTGAAAGATTTTAAAATAGAAAACAATCGTACCACATTTAGATTAAAATAGCTACCGTAAAAATTAATTTAAAAATTTGCACACAAAACCCATTGACTTATGCATATAATTAATTAAGTTGCACAGTACATAAACATTTTTTCTTAATTACCAGTTATCCAGTATCAAAGCAAATACAAAATTTAAATAAAACCTCATTTAATTTGCGCACAGTTGCAATAAATAATTTAAATCTCGAACGCAGGTTACGCACGATATTAATTAACATCTATTATCCGTTAACTCAAGCTCTTTACTTCTAATATTCAAATAGAAATTCAAAATAAAAATTGAACACGTATAAAATACTTGCTTATACATAAATGGATACATTAAAATATTGCCTCTGTGACTTGGTAACACACAGAATGCAACAAATACAATAATTACTAGAATGCTGCCTGCGCAAGTGTAATGCTTAAATGTGAACTATAAATCAATTCATTTGCGGACTGCAAACATGACTAGTGACTAGCTAATAGTTGAGTTGATATTATGTATAATTGTGCGTTGGGTGAACTGATTAACATGCGTACAACCAGATAGAATGCGCGCAGCTGATAAAATTCTTGTTTTAATCAACGTATGAAAGTGATCAGGTTATAAATTTCCACTTAAACACCTTATAAAGTAAGAAAACATCACGTTTTTCAAGTATAAAATAGTTGCTTACTTCAATTATCATAAAATATAACTAAATTAAGTTATTTTATGAATATTCAAATTATTTATTAACCAGCAGATAATTTTCGATTAAAAAATATTAAAGCTTGAGTTTGATTTGCAGAAAAATCAACTGTTGAACAATTAGTAATTAACAATTAAGAATTAACGAACATTAACGAATCCAACATGTTAATCAATTGATTGATCTAGATTGTTGCTATTACAACGCTGTGGCTGGTGTTCCTGTTGAGTTTTCTCAACGCGTGTCGAGTGAACGCAATAACAGAAAAACTGATTAAGCGTGCTTAATGAGAAGTAACACGACGGCGATTGTGTCGCTTGAAAATGTCGACTGATATATTTATTGCGACTATCACAACAATATTCACGAGAGCTTCGACTAGTTGAAGTAACAATCAGAGTAATATCGTGAGTGGCATGGGTAAAATGCAATGAATGACAATCGTGATTATTTCATTCGCAACAATAATAATTACAAAGCAATGCAAGGTATTTTAATATAATATAATCCGTATTAAAATGGAGCGATACCGGATTTGCTCTGAGTTGATTTACGCACTGTTTTTATCGACTTGTCACGGCGATAAATATTATGATGGAAATTATTTATTGACATTTGAATGTTTCAATCAAAGTGCAAATCATATTGCACTAGTTTTATTTTATTAATCATTATAAAATATTAAATATCAAGTGGCTAAACGGGAGTTTTATTCACAAGATTAATTGAGAGCGAACGTAGCGAGCGTTTACTCAATTGAGTGTTTAACAACGTTTAGTCACGTGATGCTTACGCTAGTTTTTCTACTTCCACTCTATTTCCTCGTTTTGGTTTTTGTATTAAACTTTTGTATTTTAAATCTTTGAAATTCGCTCGCACCCAACTGGGAAATATAATGTTATAAATGCTGTACTCCGCCGACACGAGCAGCAGCAGCGCTTGCTTTGACTTGTTTGTCTTGTGCTACACCGTAGGCAAATGCGCAGGCGCACGCTCCGCCCCGTGAATAAAGCCCGTGAGTAAAGTGCTTTACTCACAGTCTTGGCTGTCTGTGTTTAAAGTTCCATTTTTTGTACCTGGGAAAACTGGTGCTTTAAAGATTGAAGTAGAAAGAAAAAATTCGAGCTGTGTGGTAGTATATAAATTGCTGAAAACCAAAAAAGCCGACATACGCGTAGGAATATTTTATAATACACTATGAAACACTAATTAAGTGACTAATTATAAGTTACACATTTACGCATTCTCTGTTATGAAACCGAATTAACTTACTCGTACATATAACACTAAAATTTGCACCGCCATTATTGATGCATGGACACATGTGCAAATGCGCGCGCGGCGCATAATCTACAAATTTAATTACGAGAGAAATTGCTCGTTTCAGAAATGATTACTTGTTACCATTACTTTTACATGACTGTCATAACTATTATAACGACTTAAAACATGATGAAAAGTAAGGAAAAAACATAATGAGTACCTAATCAGTTACTAAATTAGACTTTACGCCAATTTATTCTCTGCTCTAGAGTGGGTACTAAAGTTTAAGAACCGTCGGTGGAGAAAGGCAATATGATATGTACCGCAGGTGAAAATAGTTTTAATTAGAAATGTACAGAAACAGAGAAATGCTCTGAGAAATGTTTAAATCTAGAAATATCGTAATGTGAGAAATGTATTGCTTCGTCTGGTAAATAAATCAAATTAATTAATACATAAATCAAAGGCTCAAGTAATTGGTTTAAGTTATTTGATGATTA